TGAATTTTAGAAAATCTTGACTAATTCACTTTAGGGAAAAGCTAATCCTACACCACAGGGCTAAGTATAAAACAGGTGACATTGCTAAATGGGTGACAAAAATGAGCAGGCGGAGGATCATTAAGTGCTCGTTAGCTGCATGTTGTCACGTGCTGTCACATTAACTATGGGGTGCAGCACCAATTTTCTCTTCTTTGTCATTTTCTAACACTGTCCCCTCTGTGGCGCTGGCTCACCCCGGGGTCTGCTCTGGGCCCCAAGCCTCAGTGCCACCGCTGAGATCTCAGAAGCTGCACTCGGCGAGGCCACCACCAGGTCTCCTTACAGTGGGGCGGCTACCACGATGGTCAAGCACCAAGAGAAAGAGGAGCCAACACCACCTGGCTCACGCAGCCACTCAGGCCCTGTTGTGACCAGACATTCAGGACTCCTGGGCTCAAGCCGTAGTCACCTTCGGTCTCAGTGACCATAGCCCCCACAAGTGGGAGTGGACGGCCACACTCCCCTGAGGCCGTGCCAGGCCCATGAGCTCTCAGGCTGCATAGCCCCATCTGTTCCTCCTTTAATGATGTTCCTTTTTAAAACAAAAATGATTTTAGGCTCTGCGTAAACCACCATGTTCCATATCGGTGTGTGCAGACAGTCTGAATGAACATCTGCAAATCCAAACCCAAATCAATCGCTTTCCCTCCTAGTTTTCCAGCTACTTCCGATCTCTGTTAACAATGTCCTTTCTTTATCACATGACAGTGCATAGTGTATCACTCAGCCGTTCACTGCACACCTCAGCCAACAATGGGCCACATGGATGGCAGGGGCTTAAGAGGCCAAGTGGCCCAGAGTTGCAGCAGCCAAAGTTTGTGTAAGGACACACAGATGTTTGCACAGTGGCACAACTGCCTCAACCCACATCCAGAATATATCCTGATATTAGTGACATACCTGACTGCGCCCAGTGAGTTATTAAGGCAGCACCAGGCTCTTTATCTGAGTTTAAGACACTTGTGCGAGGAGAGCCTGGAAACGTGGATGAGTCACACAGAGTGAGCACATCTGCCAGGTGTCCAGGATGTTGGCTATCTCCAGGTGCCCAGCCAAAGTGTGAAGCAGGGACTGGCCAGCCTTAACCAGCGCATTGGGCTAGATTGCCAGAAGAAATGTGCAACCTGTCTAATTTCCTTTCACAGAAACATGGAACCCAGATCCTCTCAGAAAACATACACAGTGAGAAGACACGAAAGATGGATGGATGGATGGATGGATGGATGGATGGATGGATGGATGGATGGATGTGTGTGTGGATGGATGGATGGATGGATGGATGGATGGATGGATGGATGGATAGGTGGATGGATGGATGGATGGATGGATGGGTGGATGAATAGGTGGATGGATGGATGGATGGATGGATGGATGGGTGGATGGATGGATGGGTGAGATGGATGGATGAGTGGGTGGATGGGTGGATGGATGGATGGGTGAGATGGATGGATGGATGGGTGGGTGGATGGGTGGATTGATAGGTGGGTAGATGGGTAGATGAATGGGTAGATGGCTAAATGGATGGATGACACAGAAACATATTAAGGGGACATCCCTGCTCAGGCAACTCTTTCCCTGTTGCTTCCCCAGAAGACACAGCATTGCCCTTGGGCTCCTCTTTTGTCACCAGACCTTGGAACTCCCAGTAGAGCACTGCCAAACCTATGGCATGCATGCCACAACAGGCACACAAAACCCTATCCATTGGCATGTGAGCCGAGTGTATGAGTTTTTTAAAAAAACTAAAACCTTAGTATTCATTTTTAATTACGGTATTGGCATTTTGCAATAAATAAGTGGGTTTTGGGCTGCAGTTTGGACACCCAGTCTCTAACTGGTTCAGTCACTGCAGTAGCAGGATATCTGGAACGCAGAGCTGCTGTGGCCTGTGGAGGTCAAGGTCAATGTCCCCAAGCCACCCCTGCATGGCAGTGGCCCTGGGCTGGTCAGCAGCAGGGTTGGTCTGCACAGGTGCCCCTCCTGGGGACCCTCGTGGGGTGGGACCCCATGCCAGACCCAATGTGAAGCATCAGATCTCTACAGCTAACCTGCAAAGCTCCAGAACGATGTGATGGTGACACAGTTCATCGTCCCAGGATCTCTATTTAAAGCTTTCTAAAGACAAAAGTAAGGAAGACAATTACACAGATTGCAGAGACCAGAGTAAGGAGCTCGGAGAGAAAGAAACTCGAGAGCCAACAACAACGTAACATAAACAGCTCGGCAAATAATAGTGCAGTTTCCCTGCTAATAGAATGGTTTAACACCTGAACACAGCCACACGCCTGATTACACACCAACAACACACCCATAAAGGAAGATTATAAGCTGCAATGTGTCTTTGCAAGAAACAGCATATTAACCACTGTTTGTATACTTCCCCAATTACGTTCCTTTAATTCTTTCATTTAGAACACAGTTTACATTATAATAGCCAGCATCACTTCTGTTTTTAAAACAATTGGTTATATGTGCATTGCCAAATTATGGGTCTGCGGGCTGTCATCATAAGGGAAGACAACTGCAAGCAGGCTCTGAGGGGATCGCACCCGCAGGCTGGTGTCATGAGGACGCGTCATCTAAGGGTCACCATGTCCTGCCAGCCCCATGCCTCCCTGTGGGCTGATGCATCCTGTTTTCCTTTCCAATTTTTGGGGGTGCAGAGGTTCATTCTAGGTGCTTGGCAGCCTGGGCAGTGTGAACCACTCGCAACTCCCAAGATGCCTGGCTGCCAGGCACCAGTGCTGCCTGGGGACACAAGGGGCTACTCCACGGTACTGCAGTGTATGCAGGTGGTCTCCCCATCAGAATCCCCAGTTCTGCTGGCAGCAGACACACAGGGTTTCCCAGCAAATAGAGGAATCCCAAAGGCAGCAAATGGGATGTCAGATGACTGGGACAGAGCCAGAGAGAGCTCCTCTGGTGACGGGCAGAGGTGTGGCTGAGGGTAAGGAGTGGGCCTGGGGTCCGGACTGCACAGGATGAGGTCCTGGACCCACAGCCATGAGTGATGCCCTAAGGCTAAAGCCAATGCCAGCCCAAGGGTCCTCCTGGAAGGTTCCCAAGTTCAAGGTCATTGACTGTTGGTGCCCCATAATCCCAGGCCTTCGGAGACACCCACCCAAAGGGACACAATTGCACCCAAGCAGTCTCACTTCCAGCCTTGCCTCCCTCCCAATTCATGCACCCCCCAAATTCATGTCAATGCCCTGGCCTCCAGAAGAATGAACTTGGGAGTGGGGGCTTTGAGATCACTAGGGTCAGGTGAGCTCACGAGGTGAGGCCACGATGGACTGGTGTCCCTCTAAGAAGTGACCCCAACACTCTGCCCACCACACGAGGACACCATGAGCTGCTACAGTCTGTACTTGGGCAGGGCCTGCGCTGGGAACAAAAGTCACAGTACCGTGACTGTCACTTACCAGCCTCTGCAGCCATGAGAGAGATCGTCTCAGGCATGTGGCACTTGTTACAGTAGCCCATGCAGAGGGACACACAACCAAACCACACCACACACCCAAGTGGCAGAACAGGAGCACGAGAGTCCCCAACAGGAGCTGCAGCACGCTCCTTGCATCTAGGGACAAGGCTCCACCCACCCCACCCTGGGCTGGCAGGTGTAACAAGAGCCGGAACTGGGGGACAGACACCTGGGCCAGCCTCCGGGCAAGACAGTGCCCAGGTCCTCCTGTCACCCCACCAAGAGCCGGAGAACAGCAGAGGGAATCAAGTGGCCGGAGCGCTGCCCAGTCTGGAGCTCTGGGAGCAGAGGTGACCCAGTGTCCATGGTGAAACGCGGGGCTGTGGCATGTGCAGGGGGTGCTGCAGCAGGAAGGATGACTGGTCCCGTAGGCTCCATCATCCTCCAGGAGTGACCAGGAAGCATGGGCTCAGGGCTTAGTGACCAATACTAGCTGTCCAACATCCCAGCGAGCTGAGCTCCCAACACAGCGCACACGGCTGCCCCAGGGCTCTGAAAACACACAAGGAAGCTGGTAGATGTCTGCCTCCTGCTCTCATGAAATGCAGTGGGAAATCCTGGGCGCTGTGCACCGACCTGAGAGCCCAGCTCTGCATGGGGAGAAGAGGGCAGATTGCTGAAGCCAGCGCAGCCAGAGAAGCCAGGGCCAGGCACTGCCTGAGAGGCATCGCTGATGATGGCAGGAAGGAGAATTCTCTAAAATGAGTACACATTATTATATTATTTTGTAAAAAAATTTAAATTATAAAAATGAGAGCAAATATTCTAAAATGCTGACAGCGTTTGGGATATTGGAAATAAGATTGCTTTTCCCATCTTTAATTTTTCAAAATTCTTGGAAAATTCACTCCTAAGAAAGAGCTGTGAAGGGTTCTTCCCCTCCCTTGGGGCCTCTGTCTCAGAAGATGCAGCAAGGAGACCCCTGAGGTCTAAGGACAAAGACATCTCTGCACTGAGAGGACCAGGGGAGGCCTGACCCTCGGCCAGCCAGGCAAACAAGCCCTCAGAGACAGAAGCCTTTACTAAATTCCCTTCTGTTTGCAGTGCTGCATGAAAATTTAAATGCAAGGGAATGATGCATAAAATTCTGGTTAACAGGCGACAAAGAACTGAGCACTTCTGGTCAAAACCACTTGAAGCAGCTGCTGCAGAAGGAACCCATAGCCTGGCTCCCCTCAACAGGAGGACTTCCTGTCCTGATGTCACAGGTCCCTGGCATAACCTCAGCTCCCTTACTGTCCTGATGTCATGGGTCCCTGACGTCACCCAACTCAACTCCTGCCCCGAAGTCACAGATTTCTGATGTCAGCCTGCTCCCTTCCTGTCCTGATGTCACCCAACTCACTTCCTGTCCTGATGTCACGGGTCCCTGACGTCACCCAACTCAATTCCTGCCCTGAAGTCACAGATTTCTGACGTCACCAGCTCACTTCCTGTCCTGATGTCACAGGTCCCTGGCATTCCACGTATCCTGGAGACCAAGAAGAAGATTTTCCTCCTTTGGTAGAGGGAACATGGCAGCAAATAGAGGAGTGGGGACCCTCTTCCTGGTCCTCCTGCTGTCCAGCTGGCCAGAGACCAACTTGCAGCCGATAAACACATCCTCAGGTAGAGTCCCACAAAGACCCACAGACAGAAACCATGGGCAGTGGCCTTCCCCTCCTCTTCCCACTGGGTGGACCATCTCCTCCTTGAAGGATGGAGGAAGGGGAAAGCTTTTCTCTTTGAAGCCCTTCTAAAGTTCATAACCCCACAGGAAAGCAGCGCACGTGATCTATTTTAGCTTTTTATTATGGGGAGTTTCTGACTCACCCTACGAAGAGGGTTACCATCACGAGTCTGCATGATTCCTCCCCCAGTTTCAGTAGTTGTGCACATTTCATGGTCTTGCTCTGCCTACTTGCTCACACACCTGTGCGCACACTTTCTTTTCATTTTGAGGAGCATTTTACTGCTGTCCCAGACTTCCTAGCACTTCATGTAAAATGTTTTCTTGTTCACAGATACAGGCATTGTCTGTATATATCCACAACATCATTATCACACTAACAAAATTAACAAAATCATTTACAGCAACTAACGGCGATTCAAGAAAAAATATCCCTAAAATTTAAGACAGCTGTCACGGTGGGATTTACTCCAGAATGGAGACGACGGGGACCTTTCACAGGCACCAGTGGAGGCAGACAGCAAGGGCCAGAGTGGGTGGCGGAGGACATTTCCTAGAGGTCCTTGTAACCGTCAGCTCTGCTGCTACTGTGACAAACACCCGACACTCACAACATAAAGGCGGGAGGTTTGTCGGGCTCACGGTTTCGGGGACTTGGTCCACGGCTGGCTGCTCCAAGGCAGGGATGTTGGGGCAGAAGGGCGTGGCGGGGAAAGCTGCCCCCTCCCTGGCGTCCGGAAGCGGCGCAGGAAGGAGACCCCTCCATGGCACGGCCCAGGGACCTCCTGCAGCCAGCACCTCTCACCAGCACCCTGGGATGTGCACACCCCTGCACGGCTCATACATGTGTCCCCATGAGCCCCGCACCTCCCACGGGTCACTCATCCAGGCATGCGGACCATGAAGGAGACCCGTCACAGTCGGTGAGTCTTGGCCGGCTGGGCTCCCAGGATCCGCCGGAGGAGGCCAAGGCAGCAGACCTCAGGCTCATGCAGGAGGATGCGGCTTTCACTGAGCAGACTCCTGAGGACTCGCACCACAGCTGGGAACAACAGGTCTGGGCAGAGCCCGAGGTCAGGGCCTCAGTCAAAGCCGCCTCTCCTGGAGGAGCTGGCAGGAGGGGCCCAGGCAGCAGGAGTCAGCCCCGCCTCCCTCCGCAGCCCAGACTCCCGCTCCTTTGAAGGACAAAGCTGTCTCTGCTTCCCTGGAGGACACTTGCTGGTGCTCATGGTCTGGCTTTCAATGCGGGATTTCCATGAAAAGAAAAGAAAACAAGGACAGCAGCTGGACCACAGCCCCTGAGGCCAGAGGGCACCTCGGGAAGATTTCTAGGACGATTCCTGGGGCTGCCGACCAGGGTGGGCCTGCTGTCCACAGGGTCCTGGGGTCCCCGGTGACACATGAACAGCGGAGCCACAGTCGTGTCCTGGACGCCGCACTGCTGCTCGCCGGGCTTCTCCTGATCTGACCGGGGCAGGAGAGGAGGAGAGGAGAGGAGAGTCACGGCTGACAGGCGGAACCCAGCTGCAGGACACGCCAGGCTTACAGTGACGGCGAAGGAGAGGAGGCCTGCCGAGAGGCAAGAAGAGGAGGAAAAAGAACACGCTCCTAAGAGGTATTTAATGCCCTACAATTATATGTTCACTGTCATCCTTTTTGATCAAAGATAGCCAAGTTAAGGTCTTCTACAACTCTGTCTCACTAGATGTGGCCTGATTGCTTGCACAACTGCGGCCAGAACAGTGACTGATGCCTTGTTTGGTTCTGCTTGGCTGGGACTTGCCCTGTGGAATCCCAGGCCAGGCGGTTCAAGCCCCATGAGGCTGGGGCCGGGCCAAGGACTCACTGTGGGACCCAAAGACTCGGGTGAATTCCTTTCTTCTAGGCTCCCAGACCCGCCTGGAGTTGGCCTTCGTCACCCCACGGCAGAGCCCTGTAAGCTCACGGCCAGGCAGGCTTCTCCCTGCAGCCAGCGGCCACCCGTGCCACCAGGGCAGCCTGGGTTCCCCTGACTGCCGTCACCTCGATTACATGGGATCGTTTGGTCCAAGCTCTGGTGACCAAATAGTCGCGTCTTTGTCACTGTGACACACAACGCAGAAGGAGGAAGGGTTTATTTCTAGCTCACAGCTTCAGAGGTTTCCGTCCATGGTCAGCTGGCTCCAAACCAAAACCCCATGGCAGAAGGCGTGGAGGAGGAGAGCTGCTCACACCAGGGCGGCAGGAAGCAGAGGGGGCGAAAGAACGAGAGAGGAGCGGGCCGGGACCAGACACGGCCCCCAGAATCATGCCCACGACCCACCCAGGCACATCCCAGAGTGCTCTGCGCATCTCCTGGTGTCTCACGTCAACCCGACCATCAAGACCAACTACCATAGTGAGGTCGCCAGCTCCCAACCATGTCCTGCTGCAGGGATTCGAGGTTCCTACAGAAGCTATGCAGATCTGGCTAGGAAAATCGGAAC